TTCTAGATATGATAGGGTTACACAATACCTCTTCAAATAGAAATCTATAGGCATCTAAAATCATGATAGATTTCTTGTTTTCAGCATTGCAATGTTCCAGAGTATGTGCAATATGGCATATATGCCACTCTTACTAGCATTTCCCAGGGCAAGGGTTGTTTCCCCCCTACAAATTTTCATCACAAAAATGTAAGATACAAAATAGTAGTAACTATTTGGGAAAGTTCCCGAAATAGGACTAAAAAAGTTTCAAAATTCTAAAATAGGACTGTCATGTATTTATTCCCAAAATGGGACTAATTACTGCCAAATTTGGAAAATACTGTCATGTTTGAAGTCTGATACTGCCAAAACATAGCAATAATCAAGGTTTTAAATAGCCGTAGCGGCAGCGGTAGCAGTAGCGGAAGCGGTCATCGCAGTAGCGGCCTATAGCGGTCTGTAGCCGACTGTAGCGGCTGCAGCGGCGTGAAATATTTTCAATTGCGCAAAACATAAATGTATTTTTTCACATCATTCACACAACATTTAATTTTGAGTATCACTTCATGTATTTTTGACATCATTGACACAACATTTACACATTTACACATCAAACAGTTCGTGATGTACTGCCAGAAATGTCAATAACGGGCTGTAGAGGGCTGTAGCGGGTGGCGTAGCAGATTTTTCCCGTGATTTGGAAATCACACACAATGATAGTGTATTACCTCGTTACTCCATCAAAGATGTTAAAGTCATAGATAGGTTAGGAGAGATGATTTCGGCCAAGAAAAACAAATTCAAGGCTAAAAATGAAATCTGAAATCGCCACATTGAAACCAAATATTTGTAAAAATTAAAAAATAATGATGTCATATTAGTAATATATGAAACAAAATATGTTAAATGGGTGTGAATTGCTTACATTTTGGTATGAAAATGAGAAATTTTTGACAGAGCAGTTGAAACTTAGCTTGGTGGACTAAAATCCCTGTAGACCTTATCCATGTTCTTCACTACCTTTATCGCCATTCTTCATCACCAGCCTAGCTTCGGCGGCGCGTTGCTGTCCGACTCATGGTCGCCCACCGCCCTTCGCGCCGACTCATGTTTCCCACAACCATGCATGGTTGAAGGAAGAGGCTAGCGGAAGAGATATGATGTTGGGTTTATGGCGTGAATTGGAGAAGAATAGCTAGGTTTCAGATTTAGGGATCGGGTACAATGATAAGTGTAGAATTGGAAAGAGACGCTAGATTTTTGGGGGGTCGATGCAAGTATACTTTTGGGGGCAATTGTAATTGTTTTGGGGGAATAAAAATTATGGAGAGAACTTTAGGTTTAGGAAAAAATTGAAGACAAAAAAATGAAAATAAAATGTTAAATTTATATTTAGTATCAGTGCTATTTGTTGATGTCATAGTGTCACACATCAGTGACACTTATATGTCAGAAACAATATAAGTCGTCCATCCGTGACACTTGTTAAAAAAGTGTCACAAAAAAAGTGTCACTGTAAGACACTTTTCTACTAGTGGAGGGAGCCAAGGAGTTGGATCTGGATGAAACCGAGCTCGATGATGTTCCAATGGAGGAAAATCGGATGAGCTGTCTAGTTGTGGGCGCCTTGTTAACATACAGGAAAATCAAGTTTCCGGTTTTCAAAGAGCTTATGACTTCCTTGTGGAGGTAGGGAAAATGTGTGTCGATCAAAGAAATTGGTGATAAGAGGTATTTTTTTACTTTCTACCATACTGTTGATATGAAACATGTTCTTGATGGAGACCCGTGAAAATTTGAGAGGAATTTGTTGATTCTGAAAAAAGTTAGACCTGATGATATTCCACATAAGATTTATCTAAATGAAGCCGAATTTTGGGTACAAGTTCATAATGTCCCTTATAGTTTGATGAATTTAGGCACTGCCAGACGTGTTGGTAACTTTATTGGAAATTCGTTAGTTATGATGATAACCAATTTGGTGAAAAGTGAGAATCTTACCTGCGAGTAAGAGTATGTATGAATGTAGAAAAATCTCTGAAAATGGGTACAATCCTTAAAAAAAGAAGGCATTGATCATTGGGTGGATTTTAAGTACGAAAAGTTGCTCAAATTCTGCTTTGTTTGCGGTATTATAGGTCATTCTGATAAATTCTGCCTGTTGGCATATGAAAAATCTGGCACTCGAAAAAAACTTTTGGTGTACATCTTAGAGCAGGTAGTGGGGTGAAGACTAGTCCTACAGAAGGAAATAAGTGGTTGGTGGATGGGTCATCTAGTTCGAACCGGGATCCCCAACATAAGGAGGACAACAAGTCGGATGGTAGAACAGGAGGGGGTTGGAAGGAGTCTACGTCAGGTACGTTAATAGCTCAACAAAAGATGCGGAATTGTGAAGTAATGAGGAGGTTTCTGAAGAGCATAAACGAAGACGCATCTGGGAGGCTCAGGAAACAGAGAATCAAGTGGGGGATAATATGGCTCTGGATGGGGAAAAAACGGGGATGAGGCGGGCATCGAGGTGTAAGTCCGTCAAAGCTGTTAAAACAGAGGCCAACGCGAGGAACTTGGAAGATGGTGGTGATTGGGAAGATGGGACAGAAATTTTATTTTTTCGCATTTATTTATTTTGATTGTCTGAAGTTTATTGTCTACTTTCGGTTTTTTATTTTATTCTGCTGTAAGCTTTCGGTTAACAGAGGTTAACCATCTTCGGCTCATTTGTGCCCAGTAATGGATCAACAAGTTATATTGCTTTTTTCGAGGTGATAGACTCTGAGTCTGGTTCAAGGGTCGGCGGTTGCGAGGAGTCTTTTTGTCTTTTTACCTACTATCTGAATGGTGTGTTATCTTACTTATTTACTTCCCTGTGTGACCTTTTTTGGACCAACCAATATTATCTATAGTGTTTGGATCTATTTCTTAAAATCGTTTCTGCTCCTTTAAGGAACAAAAACAAATATTGAATTTGGGGGAGATCAGTTTTTTAAAAACTGATTTGATTCTATTTCTGTTTTTAAAAAATAAGCAAAAACAGAATCCGTTCCAAATATCCTTAATTAACTTCCCATTGATAGGTTTACAAAAATACCCTGATAACTCCTTTCTATTAATGTTTTCGATAAGAGTAGTAATTATATTTATGGACATGACAATAGCATACATTCAACTTATCAACTTATACTAATAGTCAGGATCTTCTTTCGCATGAGTTTATTGAGTTATGTGTTAACTAATTTATACAATTTTATACCATACATCTCAAGTAGTTAGATTTAAAGGGTTTTTCATACATGAATTTGTATTCATTTTTTTTTTAAATCCCGATGTTATTCCACATGGTGGGGTAAGGGTCGGAGAACACCTTACCATTTTATTGAATGAAAACGAATACATGGTAGGGGGACATAAAGCTAAGACCTACCAAATTACAGAACATAAGGGTAACTGATCGCATCAAACTTCACAATGCCCATTATTTCATAAATTTGTAATCATTATAATGTAAAATTGAATATATAATAATCACTTATGGTTAATGGTATAATCACTTTATATAAGAAATCACATTTTATCAACTATCTTTATTTCAGTTATATATGTCATAATTTCTAGATTTAAAGTGCCCATTGCAATGGTTGTATTACTTGTATCAGTTGATATGATGTTCCAAGAATCCAAGTTCTAACCAACCAGCAAACCAATATATTCACAGTTTAAATTTTAAAAGGCGTCCATAAATTGAGTAGATTTCCATGGAGGCCGTTGGGTAGGTTAGAAAAGGATTATAGAGAAGGGGGAAGAGAACCTAAGTTACCTTAGAGGAGGGAGGAGGACAAGCCGATGAACCTTGCGGATGAATAGAGCACCAAGCAACAGAGATCCTAGAGCGAGAGAGCAGAAATCAGGAACCCTAATTCTAAGGGAAACCCCAGTATTTATAAGGGAGGAACCGATTCAGGGGCCAACAAAGGGGTGACACGTAGCGAGGAGCGTATCCAGGCTCACGCGCTGAGCGTGGGATGGAAGTGTAATGCACGAGGATCTCTGCTGGTGCACATTCAACTTATCAACTTATAAACTTATCAACTTCTATGCACATTCAACTTATCAACTTATACTAATAGTCGGGATCTTCTTTCGCATGAGTTTAATGAGTTGTGTGTTAACTAATTTATACAATTTTATACCATACATCTCAAGTAGTTAGATTTAAAGGGTTTTTCATACATAAATTTGTATTTCATTTTTTTTTAAATCCCGATGTTATTCCACATGGTGGGGTCAGGGTCGGAGAACACCTTACCATTTTATTGAATGAAAACGAATACATGGTAGGGGAACATAAAGCTAAGACCTACCAAATTACAGAACATAAGGGTAACTAATCGCATCAAACTTCACAATGCCCATTATTTCATAAATTTGTAATCATTATAATGTAAAATTGAATATATAATAATCACTTATGGTTAATGGTATAATCACTTTATATAAGAAATCACATTTTATCAACTATCTTTATTTCAGTTATATATGTCATAATTTCTAGATTTAAAGTGCCCATTGCAATGGTTGTATTACTTGTATCAGTTGATATGATGTTCCAAGAATCCAAGTTATAACCAACCAACAAACCAATATATTCACAGTTTAAATTTTAAAAGGCGTCCATAAAAAATAGGTGAAAATAATTAAAATATACCAAAATTTGAAGCGGTGTTAGATGAATACCCCAAACTTACATATGTAATTTAAATACCCCAAATTTTATATAAAAGTTATCTAAGCACCATATTCAAGTATTATTTCTTTCAAAAATGCAAATTTACGATATTATTTGCATAATTTGAAATATTTTAAAATTCATGAACACACTCAATAAACATTCTAAACTTGTATTGCGAAATAAATAATGTTACCCCCAATCCATATAATTGCAAAACTTTTAATTTTTTATTTTAAATTATGCAATTAACCCCATAAATTTCTATTTTGCAAGAAACAATACATCACAATGGTGCAAAAATAACTATTTATATATAGTTTAAAGTATTTAAATTACATATACTCCGTACAAGTTTGAGATGTTTACCTCACAGGCTCACACCCTTTCAAATATCCCATATCAGCTTATATAGAAAGCCGTGGGGCTTGTGAATGTGAAGAGCATCTACAGATAAAGAATTATAGGAGTGGCAAAATAGAACCACCAAATAAATATAAATTGCATTCTATTTTACATAAAATAAAAAGTTTCTGTTGGACGCTATAGATACACATTGTTGCAAAGTTGCAATAGAGAACTAACTAAAATCTGAAGAGTCTACCAGCACCACCCTTTCTAATTTGCGCCCAAGCAATAGCAGCTGCAAAAGCGCCTCCCAAGTGCGCAGACCCCGATATCTGAGTGTCACCCTACACCCATAAACACAGGCCCAGTACCTCAAATAATTAAACTCAGATAAATACATATCTATATTATTATGCATATTTAAATGGGGTTTGACAAGCAAAAAACAAAAAACAAATTCCCCCATCTCCAGCTAACAGAACTGACTTCTTCCATTGAAGGTCAGGTAAATTGACCTTAACGCATGATTTATCAGTTGTGAATGGTTGTAAGAATCTCTCACTTGTATGTATTGATCAATACAGAATGAGAAGTAAAGTTTAGAGCATGAATAGCATACCTCCAGTATTCTTAATACATCTTTTCCAATCAGAAAAATTCCCTGAAAACCAATTACAGCAAGCAGAATAAGATTATTAAGACCTGACCGCATAATCATCATTGTAAATCATTATTATTCCTTCAGAAATTAGTGGAACTATAATAATTATTATGATTGTAAATATTACTTCATATAGTTATAATTACACACCAGTAAGGCTGCAGGAACTGGGAATATGAAGTTGAAATATAGGGTCTTTTTGGGGAAGAGGAATATATCAAGCAACATAATTGCATTCACTGCCCCGCTTGCTCCCTGAAAGACATATGAGCAGAACTAAATTGATTAGACCAAGAATGAACTTTTTTCACTAATTGCTTACTGGAAATTCGGCAACACTGCAACAGTCAATTTTTGTACCAAATAAAATAAAGATTTGATTCTTTATTTTTGAAAAATAATAGGAAGGTTAAATGATACAGCGTAGAATGATACACATGCATCATGTCATATATTTTCATCTTCTTCTTTTATCAAAATATATACAGTATGAAGACTATACAACAACAACACATCCACGATTCCACGTCTTAGTCCCAAGAGATTTTGGGGTCGGCTAACATGAATAGGTACATGATATCAGAGCCCAAAAGAAAAGAAATACGGAGTATAAAAAGATAATGTAAGATAAGAAGGATAAGATGAAGATAAAGATAAGATAAAAAATGATAAGATAAAAAGGGTAAAAAGAATATACGATAGTATATAAAATAAAACGGATAAAAGGATGAAGACTATAACTCTTTAAAGAGGATAATAATTTAAATACCCCAAACTTTGAAGGGGTGTGAGGTAAGCACGTCAAACTTACATATGTAATATATATACCCCAAACTTTACATAAAAAGTTATGTTAGCATCATTACTATGTATTTTTTTATTCAAAAATGTAAACTTATGGTGTTTAGCACATGGTTTAAAATACTTAAACATTTATATAGGTGTAGTGCTCGGAGTATCATAAATTTACATTGCGAAAGAAAAAAAACTATGTTCGTGGTAATAATATTACTTTTTATATAAAATTCGGGGTATAAATATTAGAAGTAATTCCACTTTTGGTCCTACGAGTTTTGTGCCAATTCCACATTTAGTCCACGCCTTTCACTTTGTCCACTTTTGATACTTGACTAATGTTTTTTAACCGTTTGTGGTCCTTTTCCAGCGATTTTAATAATCGAAAACAATGCCGGAAGGACCATATATGGGCCAAAACACAATAGTTATGTATCAAAAGTGGACAAAGTGAAAGATGTGGACTAAATGTGGAATTGACCTAAAACTCATAGGACCAAAAGTGGAATTCATTCTAAATATTACATATGAAAGTTTGGGGCGCTTAAATCACACATCTTCAAAGTTTGGGGTATTTAAATTATTTCCCCCCTCTTTAAACATAATAATCAACTAATAAGACTATAATTGTTTAAAACATAAATCAACAAGAGGAACAAGAATGTACCAATCCATATATACTTGAAGGGCTCCTCACCATTCCGCTCCTGTGAGCCTATGAAACCATGTTTAGCAATCATAAGATCAAACACACATAGAAAATCATGCTTTTCTGTATTCTAACAAGCTTTAAAAACATGTCTCTCTGGAACCATTTGAGTGTGTGTGTGTCTATATATAAAAACTTACCAGCGTTGATGGAAGAATGAAGGCATGATAGACCAAGAAAAATACTGAACCAAGAGCTGCCCCAGACAGATACAATTTCAGAAGGTATCCTGAGCCAAACATTCTTCCCACCTGCATGTGGCAAGGTGAGATTGGAAAACCAGTTAGTATAGTGAAGGACAAAAATAGAGCTTTCCCAACACACAGCCATATTTACAACAAACAATACTTTGTATGTACATGACTTAACACTACAAGACTAAACATCTAGGTAGAATTTTCATTTCCAAGAACTCAAGTCAGTTAATATGTCATTATCTTGGTGCCATGCACCCCACAAGAGAAAAAATCTGAATAAGGACTTCACAGAAAGGTATGAAATTGTGACAAAGTTGCCTATTTCACTAATTCTCTGTTGGTTGCTTTTAAAATAAGTAAATAACATCCACTTTTGGTCCCAGACATATTCAGCCAATCTTACTTTTTAGTGACTGGCTTTCACCTTTTGAATTTAGGCATGTGTTGGGACTTTTTTGCCAATTTTGGTCCTTTCTGTTATACCATCTAACACCGGCTAGGGCGGCTACACATAGAGATACAAACTTATAAGACTTTGAACTATTATTTCTAGCTGGTTAATATTAATCTTTTAAGTTGGAGCTAGAGATTCAATCATCATCATTTTCATTTACCCCAGTGCCGCAAAGGCTCCCACCTACGGTGGGGTAAGGAGGGGTCGGATGCACGCAGTCTTACCCCTGTACTAAAGCACAGAGAGACTATTTCCGGATGATCCATAATGAAAATCGCGTCCAAAATTGCATGAACTGACCGTTGCTTCATAACAAAGAAGCGCAGACAGTTTAGTGAGCCATTTTGCTTTATTACATCATATTCTCAAGCCAAAAAATAATGAATCTTTGGCTCCATGCCTCCATTGCAAATGATGGAAAAAGCCTAGAGACTCAATGATAAGAACAGAAAAATAAAATCAACGGAATAACCCGTTGCCCAAAATAATCAACGGATGGATCCGTTGCCCAGAGCTAAACAGCTAAAACCAATATTATTAATCCCCCCTTTGAATAAGCCTAGGCAGGGGTTTATATAACCCTTACATCCAAAACTGAATAGGAAACTAAATCCTAGTAAGAAACATAATAGGAGTCCTAATTAAACCATTCAAGGAAACTAAATAGAAATAGGAAACCTCTAATTAATAGAAGTACTAATTAAATCATACTAGGAAACAAAATAAATTAGGAAACAAAATAAATTAGGAAACAAAATAAAAGGAATAATTAAAATTAATTAAATTGCCCGCAGCCAACCCACGAAGGTGGGCTCAAGCCCGTCCCGCCCCATGCTCTTCCCGCTTCATATCAATCCATCCTCCTTCAAATTAACCTTGTCCTCAAGGTTGAAAACTCGCGGATCGGGAACTGAAATTTCCAGACATAGTATAGACTGGAAAATATCCTTCTTCTCTTTCCGGGACCTTTTCCTGGCCGGTTATTTCACAGAATTCATGCTGCTTGAGGTCCAACTCTTCATTCTCCTCAGCTATCATTACCCGCAGCTGCTTAAAGGGACAGTCATGTGTTGGTGTAAATGGTTTCTTACACCTAAAGCATAATCTTTTCGCCCGTAGTTCTGCAAACTCTTTCGGCGGAAGTCGAGTGAACTGAGAGCGTGTCGTAGGCTGCCCAGACAACCCTGACTTCGTCCCCGGAGGCTGTCCACTATCTTTCGCAAAGCTACCCTCCGAACCCTGTAAGCTACCACCAATGGCAGTCAACGGGGAACCTGTGTTTGCCCTTAAAAGGCTGCTAGAACATACCCCTGATGAATGATAATTCAGGCTGCCACTTTCTCCACTTTGGACGGACAGATTATACTCCACTTCGCGAGCTAATTTCATAGCCATCTCCAGGTTGTTTGGTCGGAGCAATCACAGCGAGCTTCGGATTATCTCCTTAAGACCGCTCATGTAATATCCCAAATAGTGCTCATCGGGTAACCCTAGAACTTGGCTTGCTAGCTGAACAAACAAGATATTGTAATCTTCTATAGACCCAATTTGCCTGACTCCAGACAATCGTTCATACTTATTCCCCTGAAATCGAGAATCAAATCTGTCCACCAAGGCTTGCTTGAAATCAGCCCAAGTCATCCCGGGCCTGCGCGATCTCAGCCAGGTCACCCAGTAAAGCGCTCCTCCTTCCATAGCTACCATCGTGGCAGCCACCTTCTTTTCCGGTAAAGTGTTGTGTAATTTGAACTGTTGCTCTACCCGAGCGATCCACCCAATTGGGTCTCCCCCATCGAATGACGGAAGCAGCGTTATTGTTGGATTGCTCAGCACGCCTTCTCCATGCAACTCGGTTGCCAGGATTCGACCCACGTCATCCGCGGCTTTCTTCGGTGTGACCGGCGGGACCATCGTCTGGGTCAACGCCGCTAGTGAGGCGATGATCTCCGACAGCTTGCCACCATGCTCTGCCTGTTCAGCCCTTATCCGGGTCACTTCTCTCATACGAGTTTGTTCGTTCTCCAGCTCTGTCAATCGATCATTCTGAGATCTCGTCATCTTGGCGGAACGGGATCCGGCAGGTCGGACCAATTGATAAGAACAGAAAAATAAAATCAACGGAATAACCCGTTGCCCAAAATAATCAACGGATGGATCCGTTGCCCAGAGCTAAACAGCTAAAACCAATATTATTAATCCCCCCTTTGAATAAGCCTAGGCAGGGGTTTATATAACCCTTACATCCAAAACTGAATGGGAAACTAAATCCTAGTAAGAAACATAATAGGAGTCCTAATTAAACCATTCAAGGAAACTAAATAGAAATAGGAAACCTCTAATTAATAGAAGTACTAATTAAATCATACTAGGAAACAAAATAAATTAGGAAACAAAATAAATTAGGAAATAAATTAGGAAACAAAATAAAAGGAATAATTAAAATTAATTAAATTGCCCGCAGCCAACCCACGAAGGTGGGCTCAAGCCCGTCTCGCCCCATGCTCTTCCCGCTTCATATCACTCAATATTATATAAAAACCTATTAAGTTCTATTGACAATTGGACCCTAGTATGTCTCAAAGGACATACTTCATGATTAGTATGCTTCAATAAAATGCTAAATATAAAGATGTAAACTTACATACAAGGCCTTGTGCTACTACTTTAAACTTTTAGAATGGAGCCCTAAGTCTTAATATTTCCCAGTTCCCACTCACTTGTCCAACGATAGGTTGAAAGTCAAACAAAGATTAATGAAATGAGTGGTACAAAAGGACCGAAAGTGGCAACCAATGCACCAATACGCGGTTGTCCACAAATACGTGAAAGATGAGTACTAAAAGCAAAAATAACCAAATAGTCATGGGATCAAGCGTGTAAGTTTTCTGCAAAAAAATGGGTGGCAAGTGTAGCAAGACACATTAAAACAAGCTGATCTTCTCAAATCATATGTGAACTAAGACTTGTCATTTATAAAGCCATTAAAAAACATATAACATCTGTGGAACTACTGAGTGTCGGCATTTATATTAGAAGCATTGTGATAACTAGCTATAAGAATAAAGAAACTAACCGTGAACCATTATTTCCCAGACATTTTTTATAAAAAAACCAGTCACATATGATTAATTGGTTTTAACAATCAAAGTAGACATAAAATTGGATCAGAAAGGATAATACTTAAGACTTTCTATATAAGCACTTACGCTTGTCCCAAAAAAGTAGAGTCCAATCATGTTAGAGATAAGATGCCACTGATCGACCTGACTGAATGCAGAGGTTACTAATGTGTGCACTCGTCCACTTATAAAGTTCTCGACTGAAATCTGAGAAGTAATAAAGAATAAATGTGGATTCCATATTACCAGATATACTGTATATTAGTTCCCATCTACTCACAGTGAAGTTCTTCAACATGAATCTAGTGTCAGCAACCCTCCATAACAGAAAAACAGCCACATTAGACACAATCAAACCTATCACAACTCCATCTGGCGTCAGACTTTGAAACCAAGATCTCCTACAAACGAAAAAAGAATGTTATTTAATTTTCCTTTTCTGCTTTTTTTCTTTTGTTTTTATGTGTGAGGATGAGGGAGCACTATATTCAGATACCCTTACAGGGTACACAAGGCATGGAGCTGCTTCCAGTAAAGTGGGCATTTCTATCATATGATTCTCCTTAAAGGATGAGTAGATATTAGACAAATAGAAGAGGATTGAAAGAAATGGATAAGTTAAGAATTAAGATTGAATATTTACATCATTCAAAAAAAGGGGGTAATTTGAGTTTGCACCCCATTTCATTGTGCGAATTGGACTTTGCACCCCGTTTTTAAAAAACTTTGTTTTTGCACCCCAACCCCATATGAAAAGACAAAAATGCCCCTCCAATAACAATTTTGTTGGCCTTCAACATATTCTTGGTCGACGGCATTTTTGTCTTTTCATATAGGGTTGGGGTGCCAAAAACAAAGATTTTAAAAAACGGGGTGCAAAGTCCAAGTTGGACAATAAGATGGGGTGCAAACTCAAATTACCCCAAAAAAAAGATTGAATATTTACATATGGGCCTGCTTTGGCCCCGATAGTTAACAAATTACAGGGGATTTCGATTGACCTAGCCGGCATATTGTAAACTGAACAAATGGTGCTTCATTAAATATGACCACCATGGTAATCTTTCCTTTATATGACCTTTAACTAATGATCTCTTTTATTTAATTAGTGATAGTGTCTTGGGAAGAAAGATACAGTAGTCAACTAGTCATCATCATCGTTACCCCAGTGCCGCAAAGGCTCCCACCTAGTCAACTAGTCATATTTGAAGAAAATTTGTTATGCTGTAGTCTTATCATCGGGTAATGTATAAATGGTACCTCAACTATGGGTATTGTTGCATTTTGGTACCTCAACTCTTTAATGAATCATATGTGGCGGCCGGAATTTTATGCGTAAGGTCCATTTCACCTTCCTTTTGTTCATGTCATCATTGTAGGGTGACTCTACACATTGAATTTTGATCGCCATGTAGGATTTTTTAGCAACAAATTTGAATAAAATTACAAGTTGAAACATCTATGCATAGCTATGGTACTGATTTGATTCATTTAAGAGTTAAGGTACCAAAATGCAACAATACCAATAGTAAAGGTACCATTTATGCATTTCACCCTCTTATCATCTTATGTTGGGCAATTATTTCTTTTTTTATTATTAGTTGATAGCATGTAAAATGATTTATAAGATATTGGTATATTTTTATTTTGATGTACTGTCTTTAACTATCCTCATCTACTACACCGCAATCGGCACTTCAATTACTATTGTATTACTAGTAATTGCTATTACTATTGTTGTTTATGCAAGAGTACAAAACTAAAATTATCTACAAAGATATATTCAAATCAGCATGCAACACCTTGTGAGTTACCGGTTTTAATTTTATTTTGTAAAGTTACATGATTTAAGTTGTATAATAAGCCAAATCACTCAGACATTTAAACTAATCACCTTAGTTTTGAGAACTTCCAATATAAAAGCAAAAGAAAAAACAGCTTTTTTCTGCTTCCTAAATTTGGAATCGCCCTGAACTGCCAAATGCCAATAAGTGTTAGGTTTTTAGGTCAGTATTTTTTATAATAAAAATGTATTTGGCTATACAAAATTCCATCCTATTTAGTTTTTCCAGTTCATTATTTACCAATTACTTTTTCATACTGCTAAATGGTCAAACCTGTTTCTACATGTCTACCATTCTATTTTTCACATAAGTTCATGGTAAAAGTGTAAAACCTAACAAGAGAAGAAGATGCATTAAGGTAGCAATGTAGCACTCAACCTAAGGTTGCTCCAAACTAAGATTCTTCAATAGTTGGATGCATAAAGCATCTTTCAAAACCGGAATATATAGTGATTTTATCCATTCCTAAATGGAAGCTTGTTTTCAAGTACTACGTATTACTTTTCTTTCTTGTAGTGCAGATACTCACTTAAGGAGAAATGCCATTTTGTTGATTTCCAAGTCAGAGGAAAAGAAACAATAAACAAAAACAAACAAGCAAACAAAACAAAGAAGAGATATTCTACTTACAAATAAACTTTCAAAATAACTCTAGTTCTCTTTGACATTTGGTCAATAGAGAAATACTACTAGTACATGATAAAGATGTTAGTAAAGACCCCCAACCAGAAAAATGTATTAAATACTGGGTAGCAAGTTTTACTGATTATAATCCAGAACGGTTAAAGGATAGTAGCATGTCATACTTTCTTATCAAGCATGCATTATGTGCCTTTAACTGGAAAGAGCCATGCCCTCAAGTAAAAAGATTAAAAGAAACACTTCTTTGGGTAAAGATTAAAGAATGCAGAAGCTTTTAGAGTCATAAACTACAGAGTGAGAAATTCAAGTCATGTGTATCACATGAATAGAACTAAAGGTACACCCTATTCAACACAGCTGTACAAACTTGCCAGTGATTTTTTTTTTGAATTAGTAATGGGAATGCACTGACAAATGAGAAGGCAATAAAACCCGTGATTAGGTTAGCAAGAACTGCAGGTAAATAAAGAAAACCAAACCACCTCATTCAATGTAAAAAAAAAAAACAATCTTTTCCCCTTAACGGGAGAAACTGAGAAAGGGTAAATACCGATGGTTATAAAGATTGGAATAAGACGAGAATCCCCTCCGAGAAAGGTAGGACCTCAAGAATCCAACCTTGACTCCGGCAAGACCATAGCTTTGACCAGTCTTCGAAAGGGCGTTTCTCAAGGCTTGATTTTGGGTAAATGGGCTTGAGAGCAGCCCACGGCAGAGTGTTGAAGAGGCGTTGAAGCGAGAGAAGTGGTGGTGGTGGTGGGGCGGAGAGGGGTATGGGCCGCGCTTGAAGACATTTGTGGTGATCTGGTGAGAGAGGCCCCTGAGGAAGACGAGCCTCTGCATAGCAATCGTCTTAGCTTTGGTTTTAAATTTTGACTTTCTTTTCCTAGCAACGAGAGATTGTCGTATTACTTTGTACTGTGGTTGTGAGGACCGAGGGGCCGGGAAATACTGAGAAGCTGGGGAGTGGGGACTAAAGAGCGGCCAAAGTTTGAAATCCCTTGGTATTTGTCATTCATAGTTTATGTCATACTCCGTAGTTTAAAGGATTGTTTACTTTTTCATTCATTAAAATAGTGCTCTTAAATATTCTTGCTTTAAAAAAGCACTTTTTAAACGATTTGGGAAAAAATGATTAATATTAAAAGTTTATAGTGTCTCATAAAAAAATGATTTTGAATCGTAAAAGTTGGTAATGTATGATATAATATGTGCTTTTTGTGTAATAGAAACAGTTTTCAGCCAATTCAAAAGACGACAAACGCTTTTTTAAGAAGTTGTCACTTAAAAACACCAATTTTAGCTTTTTATTAAGTCAAAAGCGAGAAGTGCTTTTTTAAGCGTTTGCAAACAGGTCATAAGTTATGTCTAGAAAGCTCAAATTTTGTGAGATTAGCCATATCACGTGAGATTAGCCATATCACCTGAGATTAGCCGTATGTCATATTGTCGAGGGATTAACCTTAACTCGCAAGTACAGAAAACTACAACGAGTTAACACAGTTCGTGAATGCATCACTTTTTATATTGATATTTTTTATTTTAGGTATGAATTTATGAACAATTCTTCTTATACACTTTTTTCTTACTGTTTACACGTTTTTACACACGTCTGTGGAGACAATTTTTTATCCGTCAAAATGTGTACAAAGGGATTTTTTGGGAATTTGTTCATCTATACTTGACACAATAAATGCTGAATGTTTTATTTAATTAAGAGAAAAAATATACTCAAGTTGTCGTCGATCAAAATCATTTAATTGTAGTCACAATAAAGTTATCTTATAGGTGCGATACTTAGCTTGTCCCGTTATTGATAAAATTAATTGAGACACACTCAAAGTGGATGCTGGGATCTATCAGTTGCAGACTTGCAGTAATTGAGTTTTGTCTTTTAGTTGAATGCTCTCAATATTATTTTTTTAATTACCTTCCCAACGTTAATTATGTCCACAAATTTATTTTAATTTGATTTGTACATACACTTTATACTTAGAATTATTCTTATAAAAACAGGATGACACTCCATCCATGAGGGCCCCCAACACCGACCGGACGACACGATGAGAAGATGTAAATTGGACTATAATCACAATCTGACAGATAGAGAGTGGGACTCTGTCTCCGGTACTTGCAGAGGCCCTATGCATTTTTAGCATAGTAACCTCTCATCGCAGTTGTCGGGATTCGAACCCGGGACCTAACCCTTGTGGCACTCCCTCGCTACCAGTTGAGCTACGCCCACCGGTGAATTATTATTTTTAGAATTATTGTTATAACCCTTCTTTAGAAAGTCACAGAAAAGAAGTCGTTCCGTGCATGAGTACACATACACTTTGATAACACTCTTCTAATGACACAAATTACACCGTACAGTCGGTTGTACTTAAGGCATGGTACAACCGCACATTTTTGCAATTATTTACAACTCCAATGGTAAAGATCTTCTATGTTGTGCTACTCGCTGATGTCCTCGGAGCTGTTGAAGGAGGCGCCGACCAATACTGCTGACTTGCTGAAGTCCGGTCTGGATTTCCGATCGATGCTACTTACTCGTTGCTCGCTGGGAGTTGTCACGGACCGTTGTTCGTGACCGTGTTAGGCTCAATGAGTGGGATGGACCGACTGGCTAGCCGGACGAGTGAGGCATGGGGAAGGCAATAGCGTCAAGGGGAGTTCTGCCTTAGACGCTAGGGTCTGGCCGAGTTGGGCATGTGGGGCTTGACTATGAAGGAGACAAGGCGTATCTAAGGGCACAACTGGTCGGGAGCTATTGCCGCTCCCCTGATGAGCCCAAGGCAGGGCGAAACCAGTCCGGTCCTGATGAGAGCAAGGCTGGTCTGCGGGGATGAGAGGGACCTCGGGACGCCGCACGGGCGCTGTGGGCTGCGCCAGACTCTATGCCCGTGACAAATGGTATCAGAGCAGGTCATGTTTATATTGTCGCGTGTAATGGTGGGGTCCTCATGAGGGATGAGGACTATGCGAGCATGGTGGCTTTAGGGCCGGTACGTGCTGATGTCGGCTCCACTCCTGATGGTCCGCAGGGGCGGATGGGTTCCTGAGGGAATGGGAACTCGGGTGGCCACCAGCTCGGTTGGGCTACTTTGAGGGGAGGCGGCCTGATGATGAGGCGCGTTGACAATATTAAGCATGACGGTCCTTGGGCGGAGTCCTCTCCCATAACACGAGGACGTGCTAGAGTTTGGGTGTGGGAGAGTGTCACGGACCGTTGTTCGTGACCTTGTTAGGCTCAATGAGTGGGATGGACCGACTGGCTAGCCGGACGAGTGAGGCATGGGGAAGGCAATAGCGTCAAGGGGAGTTCTGCCTTAGACGCTAGGGTCTGGCCGAGTTGGGCATGTGGGGCTTGACTATGAAGGAGACAAGGCGTATCTAAGGGCACAACTGGTCGGGAGCTATTGCCGCTCCCCTGATGAGCCCAAGGCAGGGCGAAACCAGTCCGGTCCTGATGAGAGCAAGGCTGGTCTGCGGGGATGAGAGGGACCTCGGGACGCCGCACGGGCGCTGTGGGCTGCGCCAGACTCTATGCCCGTGACAGAGTCCAGCTGAAGAAGAATACGGGTTGTGGCCTTCTATGGATCGGAAGGCAAAGTCTTGAGATTCTTAACGTTAGTTTTGGATTGGAATCCCAAAGGACAAACTTCATCTTATATTTTAATATTATATTTTAATATTCTATAATATTTTGTGTTACTTCGTAATATTTTCATCTTATTCATTACTATTCTTTCAAAAAAATCTTATTAATTAATTACTATATGTTATATTGAAAATGAGTATAGTGTTTATAATAAATGTGCATAATGGTTAAAAGAATTGAACATATATAATTGAATATTTGAGTACGTTAGAAAAATCAAATGAAAATACGCAAATGAAAAGTTGAGAATACTAGAGAATTCAAATAAGGCACACAAATGAAAATTTGAGCGTATTGTAGGTTTTAAATGAACTTTTTGAATTTTTTGTTGCTCATTTCGTAAGTTATGTACGGTCATTTGGTATTGGTGCACTGTTCATTTTAAAATGTTATCTATACATATTTCAAAAGTATAATACTCCCTTCGTCCCTTAAAACTTTGCTAAATTTCCTTTTTTGTATATCTCACTAACTTTGCTACTTTCCCTTTTAAGTAAAAAATGTGTGGTTCCAGTTAATTCTCTCTACTCTGCACAAACCTCAACCACACAGTTTTTACTTTATTAATTCCTGTGTTGGTCAAATTTGGCAAAGTTTTAAGATACAAGGGGAGTATTAGATTAGAATTAAATAATAGACTCATAAGGGTTCATTGTAGGTATTTTGAGAAATAAGAAAAGGATGTGAATTACAAGATATGAAGCAGGGATTACGGTGCTCATTATTAAACTCTTTCAATCAAATAGATCTGATGCTCATTACACGTGCACTAATGCTCATTTAGCGGAAGTCGCAAATTTTACATAAATTACCAAAATGTCACCGGCTGTACGGTGCAAGTCGTACAGCCGGCTGTACGATATACGACTTCTTCTAATGATGAAGTACGTAGTAATAAAAATTGTGGTTAATGACTTAGGATGCTTTTACTTGGACTATAATATGTCTCAGACCAGACCAGACCAGACCAGCAAATTACAGTCCAAGTAAAAACATCCTTAATGTCTATGGGGATAAGGTAAAAATAATACCGTGTAAAAGTTAGATATTACGTAATACCCATATTACTTTATTTAGAATTTGATGTGAGATTTTGGGGGTGTATTGTATTAGGAGTTAGTGGCAAAATTTTAAAAGTCCGTGGATTTTAAAAGTTCTGGTGTATTCAATGTAGACTTTTAAAAGTCTACAAAAGTCTAGGTGTATTCAATATAGACTTGTAAAAGTTTATAAAAGTCTTGGCGTATTCAAAGTTTCGTTCAATCTTATTGACTTCTAAAATCATGGATACTTGTGGACTTTTAACTCATTTTTAGTACAATAATTCTCTGGAATTGTCTCCTCACATAGAGAAACATATAAATAACCTGAGACTAATGAAGAAAAATAAACATAGATGAATCAAACTTACTCTCAGAAAAACCATGGGATAAGAGGAAACCGCTAAATTTGTGAAACCAAATCCTTAGAGCTTGTTTTAGATCATATAGAGCCTTCTTGAGGCCACACACATGATGAGGATAAGAGGGATGAATAAAATCAAGGGGGTTGACGACGCATGTAAACCTTTTTAGTAAGATGACCATGAAGAAATGCATTTTGACATCTAGCTGACGAATACATCAACCAAGAGAAACAACAGTAGATAAAACAAGATGTACAGTGGTGGGTTTAACAACACGGCTAAAGGTTTCAGTAAAATCTATACCAGCATGTTGCTTAAACCCTTGAGCAACCAAACGGCCCTTGTGACCCTCAACAGACCCATCAGAATTATACTTAGTCTTGTATACCCACTTACAACCAACTACATTTTTAATGTCATCCCAAGGTACTAAATTTCATGTCTTATTAGCAAGGCATTAAATCCATCAGCGATGATAGCCCGCCAAATAGAATATTTTTGTGTTTGAGAAAAACAAGTAGGATCGTCCGGGAAAAAAAAACCTTAGGTTAAAAATCATTTTAGGCTTAAAATGCCATCTTTGGCACAAATTCGCACGGGATGAATATTTAGTGGAGAAGAAGACAACGGACTATTAGTAGGGGAAGACACTAGAAGACTGGCAGGCGGGGAGCAATTAGGCGAGGATGAGGGATTGGGTTCTGCTTCCGATGAAGAACTAGTCTTGGGAAATTCGGAGGCAGGTGGACGATGTGAAGGGTTGGTCTCGGTCGAGGAAGTGGGTGACGAAATTGAGGCATCTAGTCTGGATAAGGCGAAGCTTGGTGTGTGTGATGGGAGTATGGTTGGGACAGGGATTACTGGTGCTGGTAACATCCGGGACGCGGGCTAGGCCGGCAACCATGGGGAAGGTAGA